GATCTAATGAAATTGCTACTAACTTCATGATATGAACTAAACTTAGTTTTTTTTACTCTTATATTGTAATTTGCATAAAATAAGTTGATATTAAACTCGAGCTTGTGTAATTAATTTTATCAGCATTGTAATTAGTTCATACTATTCTTTTTTGGTTGCACTTCATGCTAGTTGCAATATCACATCTGGCTTATCTACTTATTATCTCATTGCACAAATTAATAATTCATATGATCATCATAGTTATGCGGCTTTACGAGGGCTTGACAATATAATTCTATGATTTTTGTTTTCTTTTAATATCATATTTAGTAGTTTGTTTGTACATTAAAATTGATTCTCTATGATGAAACCAACAATCAACTATATATTAATGATATTGTTAAGGATAAAGTTGATTGTCTGGCTCGCATCAAATTAGTACTAGCTTTTGTGTCCTCTATATTATTTTCTCCTCTGATAACTAAGTACTAGTGTTTTAAATTATGTTTAATCTCTTAAATCCCCTTACAACCAAAATTGATCTTATAAAAAATATAGAGTAACACGATCTCTTTTTGGACAAAGATTGTCATTTCTTGATAGTAGAATCTAAATCTAAACATGAATTGTACAGTCACTTACGACTGAGTTCATATTTGGGCTTGTTTGCGAACTTTAACTTGAATCCAAACTTGAATTTTTGTATAAATTTGAATTTAATGCGAAGCCTAAGTTTAGGATCTAATCAAACTTTGAATAAAAATACTTTTTCTGCTAGTTTACTTGATCTATCTCATTAGTTGAAAACCATTCTTATAAATTCCTATTTCCTGTTCCCTCACCATAAATTTTTCACTTTCTTCCAAAATTTACAAAAGTTCATTCTTTGAGTTTTCATGGGGTTGAAACTTAAAACTCTTAGTTTCCGCCCAATCCTTCTAGTCTTCTAATTCTCTCTCTATAATGCTAATTCCCGTCTTCTATTACTGATTGAATTCTATGAGCAATTAAATAATTTTATAATAAATTTGAGAGAAGGAAGAATAAAATTAAGAGAATCATTATCAAGTATATAATGTATTTGAGGGACCATATTTTGTAGAAGAGTACCGTAAAACTCATAAGACTTTTTTATTTATACCAAATTGCTACAGATCCTTGTTATGATATGAAAAACTGTAAGATTGTAAATTGAAACAACATGCTTTTCTCTTGATGCCCTCTATTGCGATTGTTCCCTTGCATATATACTTTCAATTTTAGTATCAAAGTGTGTTTATTCTATCCGGTGATTTGTTGCGACTGATTCTAGTGTTGTTCTTATTTTTTATCATTTTATTATGCATTCTACTGTCTTTTCTATGTTTCTATATCTTTGTTATTCTCGTTAGATTTTAAATAAAATTAGGATAAATTCATTCAAAACTTCCGTTATAGTTCCCTCCATAATACACCCTTCGATGGTGATTTCTTGCCACTGATTCTAGTGCTGTTCTTATTTTTTAGCAATTTTATTATGCATTCTACTGTCTTTTCTATGTTTCTATATCTTTGTTATTCTCATTAAATTTTAAATAAATTTTTGACAAATTCATTCACAACATCCCTTATAGTTCCCTCTATAATACACCCTTCGATTCCTTCTAATTTTTCCTACATATTTCATCCATCGAAATCTCTAAACTTATCCTCTGATTAAATTTAAATTGAGATTATTTTGAATTTTAAATTCAAGTTTTAATCTCAGCAACTTGAATTAAAAAATTGAGTTTATACTTTCAGCTTGTTATTTTCCTAACAAAATTTGTATGATCAACTTGCTTGATTAATACTTATCCACAACTTATATAAGCCCGAATCAAACTCATTCAAAACGTATCTTGAACTAAGTGCACTTGAATAGGATCCTTCTTAAATGGTCCCCAACCAAATTACATTTGTGAGGAGGTGACCACGAACTTTTGGGGTGGCTGTCCCACGATATCTTGTTTGCGATGATCATATAATAGCAATGATCTATTTTAAAGATACCCACCTTTTGGATGAGTCTCACACACTTTTGATATGAAAAATATTTAAATTTCTGCCAATGGGAATTACTTCTTGGAGCTGCAACAGCTATTTTTGAAAGTTATAAACCACTACTTTTGATATGAAAAATATTTAAATTTCTGCCAATGAGATTTATTTCTTGGAGCTGCAACTGCTATTTTTGAAAGTTATAAACCACTACTCGAAAGTCTAGATTTAATTTATTTTGATTGGCAAATCTCACGTCATAATATGACAATGTCTTAGAAACTCCACTACAATGCTGCCATCTTTCATGTCTTTTTTGCTTTAATTCTCTACATTGAGAGACATCTAATGAAATTGCTACTAACTGCATGATATGAGCTAAACTTTGTTTAGTTTACTATTATATTGACATTTACATAAACTAAGCTGACAATAAATTTGAATCTTGGGTGATTAGTTTTTATTGTTTGTTCATATTATGCTTGGAGCTAGGCATCAAGCGTATCTACTTATCGTCTCATCGCTTAAGTTAATAATTTCATATGACCACCATAGTTATGTGGCTTCACGAGGGTTTGAAAACATAATTGTATGATTATTTCCTTAAATATCATATTTAAAATTTATTGGTATATTAAAATTGATTCTCTATGTGGAACCAACAATCTTATTGTTTAGTGCGATCTACATTACCATAAGATTAGAAATTATCATAATTCTCTTTACGGTAATAATTTTTTTGAAGACTTCATTGATGAGCCTTTCTTATATTATCAACAATTTGGAAAACTTGAGTTTGCAGTAATTAGCTTTATGTCGATGATGTTGTTAAGGATATTGTTGATTGTCTGGCTATCATCAAATTAGTACTAGCTTTCGTGTTCTCTATATTACTTCCTCCTCTATAATTTAAGTACTCGTTGTTTCCAGCTATGTTTAATTCTCAAATGCCTACAACTAAAATTGATATTATGAAAAACATAGAGTAACATGATCCCTTTTTTTACGAACGGTTTCGACAAATATTCTCATTTTCGACACTTTGTACAGTCACTTACAATTGAGTTCATATTTGAGCTTGCCTGTGAACTTTAACTTGAATCTAAACTTTAATTTTTGTATAAATTTGAATTTGAGGCGAAGCCCAGGTTTAGGATCTAATCATACTTTGAATCTAGATATTCTTTCTGCTATTTTACTAGATCTGTCTATTTGCCTGCAAACCATTTTTAGAATGTTGAATTAAAACTACTTTTTTTGGCTCTTTTTTATTGATTCCTTTATCATATTATTGGGTTCAAAGTTAGACACTCAGTTGATTGCCTAATATGTACTCTTACTCCCCTCTTTTTTATTCTATGAATAGTTCACTTTCCTAGAATGCATATTTTTCAATAGAGTTGTCTACAATTGTTGAAAGATTTTTTGAAGCTTTTTTAATAGCTATCCTAAATTTTGACAGAGGTAGACCTAGGAAGACTTGGGCTTATTGTATTAAAAATGATCTTAATTTACTAGTTACTAGAACTAAATGAAAATATGACATTAAATAGGACGCATTGGAGAAAAAGGATTCATGTAGCCGACCCCACGTAGTGGGATTAAGGCTTTGTTGTTGTTGTTGTTGTTGTTGTATCCTAAATTTTGACTCATCCTTAGTTTGAGGTTGTCCAGGGAAGTTTCTCTTATAGACGTTATAGGATTTTCATCACTACTACACGAATCAAATCATGATTGTACAATATTTGCATCAATTAATATTAACATTGATCAAGATATCCTTACCAAAAATTAGTCGACATATGGCTTTTGGATATACTTTAAGATGAGTGCAATGCACTGATATTTAATATTGTTTTTATCTTAAAGCAGATTCCAAGGTTTTGACACTTAATCTTGATTAACTTTTTTTTTTTTTTGAAGAGAATATTATGTATGATGAAAGTTTCATATATTTGTTGTAGTAATAGTGATTAAAAATATATTTTTAGTTTATGTCAATCCACCCATTCATCTATTCACCTTCGTGATACTAATAACAACGAAGAGTCTCAAGAACTTGCTATGATTTTAGAGAGGACCTGTGCTTGTTTTGTCTTGTTACTTTTATGTTTATCCTATTTTTGGTGTTGAGATCTGTTGCCTAATGGAGGCAATTTCAAGCCTCCCATGTTTTTTTGTTGGTTTTCCTATGGTGGAAAATGTTTGCAGCTTTTGAAAACTTCCATCAGTGGGTGATTCTAAAAATTTTTATTCTGTTGTAGAGATCACCCACTATCTATGTCATTACCATTTACTAATCAGTTCCAAGTCTATGGATTGTATTCCATTTCTCAAACCCGTTGCAGAACAATCCTTGCAGCCGGATGGAGGTGAACTGCGACTTTCGTGGAGTTATAGTACTTAAGCCCAACTTACAAATCAGTGCATGCATGATATTTTTACTTGATCTTAATGTGCTGTTCACCTTTGATGTTGCCAATCTTCATGTTGATCTAACTGTTACTATTTGTCATGATTTTAATATATATTAACAATATTCTCATGAGTATCCTAGCTATTTCGAAATGTGGACCCTATTCTATGAACAAGCTGGCTTGGGATTATAAGTCTCAGTTTTTATGATGATTGTGCAGGCAAATTTACTATCATTTTGCTGCGCTTTCTCTTTTTTTACGTCTCTCCCACTTTTCTTTCATTCTTTGTTTCCCTCTCCGTTCATGCTACTCTCCTTTTCTCTCATCTTTCTCTGCCTATTTCCTGGATTGCTTGTTTTTTTTTGACTGGAAGCTGGAATTTCATATCTGTTATTGTGGCAATGCAGTTTTGACTTGCATGACTCAGGACCAAGAGTAAGTCATGCTTATCCCATGAAGTCCAAGTGCTCATTGGGCTGCTAAATCTATTGTTTATTTTAGATTGAAGATAGTTATTGCCTTCTTCGTTTGCCATAAAAATGAGAGCAGACTAACAATTTTTGTAATTTCATATGGCTGCAGTTCCGAAGGAGAAACCGAGTCTACAAAGAAGAGCAGCGCCAACTTAGAGCTGCTGCTAGGAAGGCCAAAGAACAAACTGAAGGTGGCGACGAAAACTCTGAACATTAGTCTTCTCTGAACTGGATCATATGAAACAGTAGAGGAGAAAAACTTTGGCAGTAAATTAATGTTTTGTTTAAAACGCCCCTTGACACACAATGCCCGCTATTCTTCTTGTTGTCTTATTGTTGATACTAACATGAGTGCAAAAACGAGGTAATAATTCCCTTTGCTTAACTATGAAATCCTTTCAAAGAATTCATTTGTATTTGCATTCAAATTTGGAGAAATAAGTTGGTGGTTCTCATTCTTGATCATTAGCTCATCCTTTGCATCTCTCTTCTAAATCATTATTATCTCAAACCTCTACAGAAGAATCAGAACATGTCAAAATTAATTTCATAAACCCAAGACTAAGATTTTCTTGTGCAAGTTTGGGTGCATGCGACAAGAACATGATAAAAATGTGTATTCGGGCAAAAATTACTTGAAATCATGTTTATTGTTTAAAAATACCCAATGTCGGAAAATATTAAGGTTTTATTGGTCCCATTATAAAGTGAAGTTGCACCTCAAGGAAGCGACAAGGCGAGGCACTGATAGTTACAAGTAGTTTGAACTTCTCCATCCAGGAATTCAAGGAAGATCGATCTTATCCTCTTGGTAATTAACTATTTCAGTTTTTTTTTTTTTCCTTTCAGCTGATTCTGCTCTAACCTTCCCCTAATCTCTCCCATTTTCCACTAAAACATGAAGTATCTATCATAATGGAGAACACTTCCATCCTCTACAATCTCGGGCTAGCTCAACATCAGTGTCCATCATTAACTAGTGCCATGTTTGATCATATCCAGTGAGTTCTCTCCTAACTTTTATTTTGCTTGAATACTGGAGTATTTTTAGTGTAGAAATTCAGTTTAATCAGATGAATTTTGTGATGACTATCAGTACCGTAGATCTTCTCTAAATAACAAATCCATCACCTGAAAAACTTGAATTGCATATTGATCTTATAAATGTGGCGTCTCTTTCAAACAAGCTTAAAAAATTATAAAAAAAAAATTGTTCACTGGCCTTATACGCCAAAGCTAGAGGGCTACAGAGCTGTTTTGGCGGCTGCATAATTTTTTAACCAATTTCGCTTGGTTTGATGATGCTATTTTTCAGTCAATAATTCTTTACATAAACAGTTAATTTTTTCAAGCCGGAGGGTTCGTCTTGTCAGTGACGTCATGTAGCTATTATTATGATTCTAGAGATATGTATAGCTATATATACTGTACTAATTGCGTGGAGTGATGGATGTTTTGTGGCTATAAATGAGATGAGGAAGGAAATGTTACTCTTGCTTATTTAGTTTAGATAAAGCCAAATTTTTTTTAAGTCTTGTTGCGTGGATGATAGAAAGAAACTTATCCATTATCCTTCAGCAGATATTGGGAAAAACAGAAGCCTATTATGTCTTTTGTCTCCACATTTGCAAGCAATTCTTTTTTAAGCATTTCCTTTATTTTTTTTTTTAAGTTAAATAAAATACTAGCTATAAATCGTATTTTATTAATATATATATATATATATATATATTAATTTTAAGTTGATTTTGTCTGCAAACATGCAAGTGGGCTCTTAGAAAATGTCTCGTTTCAAAGAATGGTGGCCTTTTATTAAAAATCTTATATAACTATACATAATATAAAAAGTTTTATCCACATATCACCCTAAATATATAGAATCAAAGTAATAGCTGGCAAAATGAAAGTTGAAATAAAATAATTAAAAAAAAATAAAAAAAGCGAAGCCCTCAAGCTTCAAAATATAAGTTCTTCACATGGCTAGGATAGAATGTTCATAAAAATGTTGTTGAGTGCATGAAGATACAAAAACTTATTCTTTATCCTTCAACACAATGTGCCCACTTATATATTATGTCCCACACTTGTCACCACCTCTTTTATTTTTTCCTCAGATATTTTTTTTAAATAGAAGGTTGATTCACAATTTATTTGCCAATAAACTTAAAATGTGTTAAAAAGTATTTAAAAGTCTACTTTTACATAAAATTCATAAAAATATATTTGGTCTTTTAGTTCTACCACACGCTCCGCTCTTCCAATACTCCTTCCGTCAACATCATTAATTACCAGTACTTTTCTCCCCAACTAATTGGGATAAAGTCCAATCCACTTCTTGTTCTTTGCATGCAACGCTTCAGCTATTACTTTTCCCAGTGGTTATCTGACGCTTAGTTGCGTTAACATATCCATGCAACTCATTTTAAATAAAAAGTTAAAACTATATATCAATATATATATATATATATAGATTCATATTGATGAGAGGCGAAAGATAAAGCAAAGCCGTGACACGTACTCTCTCTCTCTCTCTCTCTGTATTTAGTTGAAAAATAACAAATTATATATCTACCACCAAATGGTATAATTGTAAATAATCTTCAAACCCATCTACGCTACGTACTCGTCGCCGTCATCAGCTCAGCTTCACACTTATAAATAACGACTTTCGGCGCCATTTCGACTCATGCTATTCGCGCGCGCAATCAAATGGTGGAAATGGCTGAACACCAATCTCTCCTCCTCCTACTCTTATTCCTCTTCACTCTGATCTCCGGCATCGAGTCCGCTCGACCGGCGTTCGCTTGCGGGGGGCCGGCGACCGCGGCGATGCGATTCTGCCATCGAAATCTACCCATAAAGGTTCGCGTTAGAGATCTAATCGGACGGCTGACTTTGGAGGAGAAGGCACGGCTGCTGGTTAACAACGCGGAGGCTGTTCCGCGGCTGGGAATCGGTGGATATGAGTGGTGGTCGGAGGCTCTCCACGGCGTTTCCGACACTGGGCCGGGGGTGAAATTCGGCGGCGATTTTCCCGGCGCCACCAGTTTCCCTCAGGTCATCTTAACTGCTGCCTCCTTCAATGCCTCGCTCTGGAAGCAAATCGGAAGGGTAAGCTACCACCAAAGTTTCCTACAAATGATAGTATAGCTGTATATGAAAGTGTGACAGATTTTTATTAATATGAACAAACTTTATGATATAAGTATTTATGAATTCATTTAGAATCATTGTGTTCATATTTATTATTTGTTATTTATTACTATATTCTTATTAAGCTATTAACAAGCAATTGTTTAATTTTTTTGAATTTACATTGCTAATATTTCTACTCAAACTTCAATTAATTTCTTATATATTATAATTTTTTTAATATAAGTTTAATAATTAATTTTAATCAATTAAATTTGATGAAAAAATTTTCAACGGAAAACTTGTCCTTTATAAGGCTCTATCTTATCTGCCAACCAAGAATGATATGATATTCTGATTACAGACCACCATTAGTCTCCCATCTTATACCTAATGCTGCTTGCTTCCATTAATTACCAGTTTTGCCACCACCCACCATCAACTTCACTTGCCATACAGCCTGTACAAACTGTACCGTTCTGCTGTTTTATAGCCTTTTCTTTTTTAGTGAAGCAAAATAAAAGACAATAGGGAGCTGAATATGGGCATTATTAATGAGAGGATATGAAGAAAGGCTTGAATTAGCTAGGGATCACATGGGGAAAGGAATCTGGCTTCAGCTGCAACGATGATTACTACATTTATTATTATTCTAATTTTATGTAGAAAATAATAGTTTCCCTCATTATTATTATTGCATGCAGGTTGTGTCCACAGAAGGGCGGGCCATGTATAACGGGGGGCGGGCCGGGCTTACGTACTGGAGCCCCAATGTGAACATATATCGCGATCCTCGTTGGGGCCGCGGCCAAGAGACTCCGGGAGAGGATCCAACTCTCTCTGCTAAATACGCCGCTAGCTACGTACGCGGTCTCCAACAACCCACCGCGGCCGCAGCGTCTTTCTTCGCCTCAAAGCCGCCGCCTGCTGCAAGCACCACACCGCCTATGATCTCGACAAGTGGCACGGCATCGACCGCTTCCACTTCAGTGCTAAGGTTCTTAACACCAATTACTAAAATATTTAAATTTATTCTTCTAATTAATTTGAGATATATATATGTGTGTGTGTGTGTGTGTGTGTGTGTGTAGGTGAGTAAGCAGGACATGGAGGACACATTTGAGGTGCCATTCAAGGCCTGTGTGGTGCAAGGGAAGGCGGCGAGCATCATGTGCTCTTATAATCAAGTCAATGGAATCCCCACTTGTGCCGACCCAAATCTTCTTCGTAATACTATCCGAACACAATGGGGTCTCAGCGGGTCCATCATCACTCTTCATTATTCAATTTATTTCTATTTCTATATATATTTATTATTCATCGCTTGGAAATAATAAAAAATATTCTTCCATTCATGTGCATGTGCAGATATATTGTATCGGATTGTGACTCCGTTGGCGTCCTCTACAACTACCAGCACTATACAGCCACTCCAGAAGACGCCGTGGCTGTTACAATCAAAGCTGGTAACTTTATGGACTATGGTTTTAGAGTTAGCTCCTAATATTGATTACAATACTAAATAATTAGAAGAAGCTGAGTTCCAGCGTTTATCTTTTCCAAAAAAATTATTTTGACCAGTGCGATAATTGTTTAAAAATGTATGAAAAATTGGTCTTTGACTTTATTGAATAAAAATATTAACGGATTAAATATTTTTGTGAGATTAGGACTGGATCTAGACTGCGGCCCATTTTTCGCCCTGTACTTGGGAAGCGCGATCCAGCAAGGCAAGCTCAACATATCTGACGTGGACAACGCGCTGGCGAACACTCTGACTGTACAAATGAGGCTCAGAATGTTCGATGGCGACCCTTCTTCACAACCTTACGGCAATCTCGGCCCAAAGGACGTCTGTACCCCTGCCCACCAATCCCTTGCCCTCGATACGGCCCGCCAAGGCATCGTCCTCCTCAAAAACCAGGGCCGCACACTTCCACTCCGCCCTTCCAATCTCCGCTCCGTCGCCGTCATCGGCCCTAACTCAGACGTCACCCAAACCATGATCGGAAACTATGCCGGTAAAAATAATTTAAAAAAATCATTTTTTTTTTTTTGCTTCAAATATAAAAATAATTTAATTTTTAATCCTGGAATAAATTAAATATTAACCAGCCAACCATTTACAATCGGTCCAGGCAAACCGTGCGGCTATATAACGCCATTACAAGGAATAAATCGCTACGTCAGAACTGTTCATCAGCCGGGCTGCATCGATGTTGCATGTTCCGGTCCGAATCAGCCTATCGATTCGGCCGTGAACGCCGCCGGGCAGGCCGACGCCGTCATCGTTTTTGTTGGGCTCGACCAGTCAGTGGAGTCCGAGGGATTAGACCGCGAAAACCTCCTCCTCCCCGGCAGGCAACCGGAGCTTGTTCAGATCGGCTGTCCCCACCACCCCCCGGGCGGCCGCAGCGGCTTTCTTCGCCTCAAAGTCGCCGCCTGCTGCAAGCACCACACCGCCTATGATCTCGACAAGTGGCACGGCATCGACCGCTTCCACTTCAGTGCTAAGGTTCTTAACACCAATTACTAAAATATTTAAATTTATTCTTCTAATTAATTTGAGATATATATATGTGTGTGTGTGTGTGTGTGTGTGTGTGTAGGTGAGTAAGCAGGACATGGAGGACACATTTGAGGTGCCATTCAAGGCCTGTGTGGTGCAAGGGAAGGCGGCGAGCATCATGTGCTCTTATAATCAAGTCAATGGAATCCCCACTTGTGCCGACCCAAATCTTCTTCGTAATACTATCCGAACACAATGGGGTCTCAGCGGGTCCATCATCACTCTTCATTATTCAATTTATTTCTATTTCTATATATATTTATTATTCATCGCTTGGAAATAATAAAAAATATTCTTCCATTCATGTGCATGTGCAGATATATTGTATCGGATTGTGACTCCGTTGGCGTCCTCTACAACTACCAGCACTATACAGCCACTCCAGAAGACGCCGTGGCTGTTACAATCAAAGCTGGTAACTTTATGGACTATGGTTTTAGAGTTAGCTCCTAATATTGATTACAATACTAAATAATTAGAAGAAGCTGAGTTCCAGCGTTTATCTTTTCCAAAAAAATTATTTTGACCAGTGCGATAATTGTTTAAAAATGTATGAAAAATTGGACTTTGACTTCACTGAATAAAAATATTAACGGATTAAATATTTTTGTGAGATTAGGACTGGATCTAGACTGCGGCCCATTTTTCGCCCTGTACTTGGGAAGCGCGATCCAGCAAGGCAAGCTCAACATATCTGACGTGGACAACGCGCTGGCGAACACTCTGACTGTACAAATGAGGCTCAGAATGTTCGATGGCGACCCTTCTTCACAACCTTACGGCAATCTCGGCCCAAAGGACGTCTGTACCCCTGCCCACCAATCCCTTGCCCTCGATACGGCCCGCCAAGGCATCGTCCTCCTCAAAAACCAGGGCCGCACACTTCCACTCCGCCCTTCCAATCTCCGCTCCGTCGCCGTCATCGGCCCTAACTCAGACGTCACCCAAACCATGATCGGAAACTATGCCGGTAAAAATAATTTAAAAAAATCATTTTTTTTTTTTTGCTTCAAATATAAAAATAATTTAATTTTTAATCCTGGAATAAATTAAATATTAACCAGCCAACCATTTACAATCGGTCCAGGCAAACCGTGCGGCTATATAACGCCATTACAAGGAATAAATCGCTACGTCAGAACTGTTCATCAGCCGGGCTGCATCGATGTTGCATGTTCCGGTCCGAATCAGCCTATCGATTCGGCCGTGAACGCCGCCGGGCAGGCCGACGCCGTCATCGTTTTTGTTGGGCTCGACCAGTCAGTGGAGTCCGAGGGATTAGACCGCGAAAACCTCCTCCTCCCCGGCAGGCAACCGGAGCTTGTTCAGAAAGCAGCCGCCGCCTCCCACGGCCCTGTCATCGTCGTTCTGATCTCCGGCGGCTCCTTAGATATCTCCTTCGCCCGCGATGACCCGCGGGTATCTGCAATTGTTTGGGCGGGTTATCCAGGCCAATCGGGCGGACAGGCCATCGCAGACGTCCTTTTTGGAGCATATAATCCCGGGGGAAGATTGCCGATGACGTGGTATCCTCAACAGTTTTCTGATAAAGTCGCGATGACCGATATGGGTATGCGGCCGGACCCGGCCCGAGGATACCCGGGCCGGTCCTATAGATTCTATACCGGACCAGTAGTTTACCCCTTCGGTCACGGCCTCAGTTACTCCAAATTTGCTTATGCCATCGCGCACGCTCCGGCCGAGTTCGCCGTAAGAATTGACGGCAGCTTTCAGACTGCTGTTGCGAACTCAAGTGATTCCGTCCGGGCCGTTCAGGTCAGTCAAGCCCGATGTAGCGAATTAATCGTACCCGTCCACGTGGATATCACGAACCATGGAGATTTGGATGGGGTCCATTCCGTACTGATTTATTCGACGAGGCCAATAGGTGCAGAGACATGGGTCCCACGACGGCAGCTCGTGTCGTTCGAAAAGGTACACGTGGCGTCCGGAGAAACAACTCGCATGAAATTGGGTGTGGACGTGTGCGCGGGATTAAGCTTCGCTGATGATGATGGGATTAGAAGAATTGCAATCGGCGATCATAACTTAGAAATCGGCGATCTAACTCACAAGATCTCGCTCCACGCCGAAATTATTCCGGCGTAGGCTAAAATGAAAAAAATGTGAAATTGGAACATTGTTTACAAATAAAGGTGCGATTAAAAATCTCAAGAAAAAAAGAATATTTATTTCAGATGCAAAGATTAAAAGAAAATAATTATTCATTGTATGTATCTTGAAACAATATAGCGATAAATATTATATACTATTTTTTTTTATGCAATGATTTACTGTAGGAGATTGTTGGTTTTTATGTGTATAATATGTGTTCATATGTGTGTCTCTATCTATCTCAAATTAGAATATAATATCTATAATTCGTCTCAAATCCAACCCTACTTGAAATGTTTCTTTATGAGGTCAACAGTGAAGAAACATTTCTTTATGAACGAGATATTTAGTTTAGTTAGCAAAAATTATGCAACTAAATTCATAAAAGTTCACTCATACCGGCCTTTGTTTCTCCAATCAAATGTACAAGTGAAATTGTCCAAACACAGTTGGTCAAGTTTAGCACATTTGGATTCACACATCAATTTCTAATTACATGGGATGAATGCAATGCATTTTTAGAGCATTGATTTTGTGCACTTTTGATATTCATGAGATGTGAGACCCCCCAAATAAATCATTAAATGTTAAGAAATTATTTTTTAGTTTTTATATAAAAATACTTCGTAGAAAGCGTCTATGCAATTGCTACTGTGATCATTACAACTAGTGTTACAATTTTGATCGTGGCCCGTCCAATTCATGTTGTCGATGTTGTTCTCTCATTCCAACTCTTCATGCTCAACTTTCTCTTCGTATTCATGTTTTGGTTGATTGATCACTAGCAAAAATTACAAATTAACTAGAAAGAAGCAAATTTTATAAAGAAACTTATAGTGAGTGTAGATAAAATCAAAGAAATCCTGATTTTAGGAGTACATCATCATTGAGAAGAATCATGCATAGAGGGAACTCACGCACAAACACTTTGATTTTGCGGCATTCTTCTTCGAGCGGTTTGATCAAAGCCTTCAGTTGTAATTTATTCTTCGAAACGTAGCATATGGATTGGAGGCAGACTCCCATAATTTGCTCTACTATTTCAAAGGTTTATTTTTTAAATTGCAGCTTCACAAAAGGATGAAGAACGGAGAGCTTAAAGTACGTTTTAAAAGAATCAGGAATATTAACTTTTAAATTGAAACTTTGCAACATAATGGGGTCATGGGTTGATAAATTTTATTTTAGGATTTTTTTTTTTGTCAGGTCTTTAGTGGGTGTGCCGAGTTTGTTGAGTCAGGCATTGACCAAGTCAAAGCGAGCTCGGGTCGGGCTGGGCTTGCCAAATTTCTATTTTTTCTCAACCAAGTCCGCCCATTATCAACAGGCTTAGCTGAGTTTGTCGGACAACCCGCCTAATGCCCAGGTCTATCCAGAACTCTTCTCTAAAAAGTACATGAGGGAAGTAAAAATAAAATTTCATGCTGCGTGAAAATGAGGTTAGAATAAAGCTACATACTTTCAAGGTCGTAAGCCATGTTCGGTAGAAGGAGAGCTAAGCAGTGTTTGCAGAATCACAAAGAGCTAAGCCACGTCGTAATTCTAGGAGCACAGAGAACTCTTCGTAAAATCCTAAGCTCATTCCAACCTTAAACCCAACTCAAATGAGCCCTGACATTCATGGCCTATAAAGATCTTTATGACTCTAAACAAACTAAGGCCAATCCAAACTTAACCAAATATTCTGTCATTATGACTAAACATCTATTTTTTTTTTAATGACAGAATTGTTAGTCTATGTCGATCGAAAATATAATGTAAGATGTATAATTATGAAATAGATGCAATCAATTTAGTATTCATTCAAATTTTCTGACATTAATCATTAATTTGAAAAAAAAAAATTCAAATTAGTCATCCAAAATACTAAATTTAGAATCACCTTATCATAAATATGGGTTTTTTTTACCTAATTAAGGAGAGAAATTAGATCATTATCAAAGTTATTGTACGATCAATAAACAATATTATCATCAAATAAAAGTAATGTAATTTATTAAAAATTATGATGTAAATATCCTCACAAACTGCATCACACCAAACTTTTTTTTTTTTTTTTTTTTTTTTTTTTTTTTTTTTGGATTTAATAGATTTATATGGATGAGACGCGGAAGCGTGACACGGACACTCTCTCTCTATTTAACAATTTATGGATCTACCCGTCCACGGTATAATTGTAAATAATCTTCAAAATTTCAACGTATAAATAAGCTCTTTGGCCGCCATTTCGATTCAAGTTAGAAATGGCTGAACACCAATCTCCCCCTCCCCTCCTATTTCTGCTCTTACTCTTCCTCACTCTCATCTCCGGCATCGAATCTACTCGACCGGCGTTCGCCTGTGGGGGGCCGGAGACGGCGGCGATGCGATTCTGCCATCGAAATCTACCCATAAAGGTTCGCGTTAGGGATCTAATCGGACGGCTGACGTTGGAGGAGAAGGCAAAGCTGCTGGTTGACCAAGCGGAGGCTGTTCCGCGTCTGGGAATCGGTGGATATAACTGGTGGTCGGAGGCTCTCCACGGCGTTTCCTATGTTGGCCACGGTGTAATATTCGGCGGCGATTTTCCCGGCGCCACCAGTTTCCCTCAGGTCATTTTAACTGCCGCCTCCTTCAATGCCTCCCTCTGGAACAGAATCGGAAGGGTAAGCTTCCTCCAAATGCTACCTTTTTTTGTTTGTGATATGAGATCAGCATTGTGACAATAAAATGGAATTGATGATTGGATGCAGGTTGTGTCAACAGAAGGGCGGGCAATGTATAACGGGGGGCAGGCGGGGCTCACCTACTGGAGCCCGAATGTGAACATATATCGTGATCCTAGGTGGGGCCGTGGCCAAGAGACTCCGGGAGAGGATCCAACTCTATCCGCTAAATACGCAGTCAGTCCCCCACCCCCCCCCGGGCGGCCGCAGCCGCTTTCTCCACCTCAAAGTCGCCGCCTGCTGCAAGCACCACACCGCCTATGATCTCGACAGCTGGCACGGCGTCGACCGCTTCCACTTTAGTGCTGAGGTTCTTAACACTAATTACTAAAATATGTCAATTTAATCTTATAATTAATTTGATTAAATATATATGTGTGTGCGTGCAGGTGAGTAAGCAGGACATGGAGGACACATATGAGGTGCCATTCAAGGCCTGTGTGGTGAAAGGAAAGGCGGCGAGCATCATGTGCTCTTTTAATGAAGTCAATGGAGTCCCCACTTGTGCCGACCCAAATCTCCTTCGTAATACCATTCGAACACAATGGGGTCTCAGCGGGTCCATCATCACTCATCATTATTCAATTTATTTCTATTTCTATATATATAAATGGCTTGGAAATAATAAAAAGTATTCTTCCATTCATGTGCATGTGCATGTGCAGATATATTGTATCGGATTGTGACTCCGTAGGCGTCATCTTAAACAACCAGCGCTATGCAGCCACTCCAGAAGACGCCGTGGCCGTAACAATCAAAGCTGGTAACTTTATGGAATATGCTTTTAGAGTTAGCTCCTAATTGTGATTACAATACTTAATAACTAGATAAACAAAAATTAATAAAATATTAACAGATTAAATATTTTTGTGAGATTAGGACTGGATCTCGACTGTGGCCCATATTTCGCCCAGTACATTGGAAGCGCGGTCCAGCAAGGCAAGCTCAACATGTCTGACGTCGACAACGCGCTGGCGAACACCCTAACTGTACAAATGAGGCTCAGAATGTTCGATGGCGACCCTTCTTCTCAGCCTTACGGCAATCTCGGCCCAAAGAACGTTTGCATCCCGGCCCATCAATACCTTGCCCTCGATGCGGCCCGCCAAGGCATCGTCCTCCTCAAAAACCAGGGCCCCAAACTTCCACTCCGCCCTTCCACCCTCCGCTCCGTCGCCGTCATCGGCCCTAACTCCAACGTCACCGAAACAATGATCGGAAACTATGCCGGTAAAAATAAAAAAAATAAAAAATAAAAATTCATTTTTTTTTTGCTTCAAATATTAAAAAAAATTAATTTTTAATCCGAAATAAATTAAATGTTTACAATCGGTCCAGGCATACCGTGCGGCTACATAACGCCATTAGAAGGAATCAATCGCTACGTCAGAACTGTTCATGAGCCGGGCTGCATCGATGTTGCATGTTCCGGTCCGAATCAGCCTATCGATTCGGCCGTGGACGCCGCCGGGCAAGCCGACGCCGTCATCGTTTTTGTTGGGCTCAACCAAGCAGTCGAGGCGGAGGGTATAGACCGGGAAAACCTCCTCCTCCCCGGCAGGCAACGGGAGCTAGTTCAGAAAGTAGCCGCGGCCTCCCGCAGCCCGGTCATCGTCGTTCTCATCTCCGGCGGTTCTTTAGATATTTCCTTTGCCCGGGATGACCCGCGGGTACCCGCAATCGTTTGGGCGGGTTATCCCGGCCAATCGGGCGGGCAAGCCATCGCAGACGTCCTTTTTGGAGCTTATAATCCAGGTGGGAGATTGCCGATGACGTGGTACCCTCAACACTTTGCTGACAGAGTACCGATGACCGACATGGGAATGCGGGCCGACCCGGCCCGAGGATACCCGGGCCGGTCCTATAGATTCTATACCGGGCCGGTAGTTTATCCCTTCGGTCATGGCCTCAGCTACTCCAAATTTGCTTATGCTATCGCCCACGCTCCGGCGGACTTCGCCGTTAGACTTGACAGCCGTTATCAGACTGCTTCCGTCTGGGCCGTTCCAGTCAGCCAAGCTCGATGCAGCGAATTAATCGTGCCCGTCCACGTGGATATCACCAACAATGGTGATTTAGATGGGGTTCATTCCGTACTGATTTATTGGACGAGGTCAATTGGTGCGGAGGCATGGTTCCCACACCGGCAGCTCGTGGCGTTTGAAAAGGTCCACGTGGCATCCGGAGAAACAACTCGTGCGAAATTGGGCGTGGACATGTGCGCGGGATTAAGCTTCGCTGGTAATGACGGGATTAGAAGGATTGCGATGGGCGATCATAACTTAGAAATCGGCGATCTAACTCACAAGATCTCGCTCCACGCCGAAACGCAGTCCACATGAACTGAAATTTTACTTTACTAAAGTTAAATAAAGAAAGTGAAATGGAAACATTGTTTTAAAGGTAAAAGGGTGATTAAATATCTCAAGAAAAAATTGAAAATAAGAGTTGTCATATTTATTTCTTATAAAAAAATTGTTGCTCGTTGTATGTATCTTGAAACAATATAACGATAAATGTTATATACTAATTTGTTGATGCAAAGATTTTAATAATGTATTGTAGGAGGTTGTTGAAATTTATGTGTTTAGTATGTCTATCTATGTGTGTTTGTATTGAGCTTAAATTATTAGAAAATAATATCTATGATTTGACTCATATCCACCCTTCTTAGAACTTTTATACTTAAAATGGTTTATGTTGACTCAATAGATATCGCGCACATTTGTCAGTTTATTCTGATTCGACATGTTGGTACAATACATTAATTTGGCTAGATAACTTAATCAATCAATTAAATTGATAAATTCAACAAACCAATTAGTGTAGCCAAAAATAAGCTCTCTGTCGCTAGCACCTGCGCTACCATACCCAACCAACCGGCCACTAAGGGCAAGCCACTGAAGGTCGACTGCTTGGGCCGGCCACCATATGTCGAATATTCTGGCGACGAGAATGCTTCAGGATCTAAGCAAGGAAAATGACCACGATACCCCCTCAAAACTCCTCTTAAAACAAGGGGAGCTCTTTCTTTGTCTCTCTCAACTCCCAGTAAAAGAGAACTCTTTTCTTCTTTCTTCACTTGTAACATTCAAGTTATGTGGAAAAAAGTTGGCCATAACACCTCTCTTTGACCCCCCGCGGGGCAATTCTCTCCCCCTATTTTTCTCATTCTCTTTCTTCTTCTTTTGGATTCTGTGGTCTATCCCTTTGGCACAAGCCAAAGGACAAATTTGGGTTCAACACAATTCATCCCACAAACTCGGCAAGTGAATTCACTCGCACATGTAGGCAGTTAATTTGACAATATATGTTCCAATCAATCAATTAAGCAAAGTTGTTTGAAAAATTAACCTTACCATTGGACTATAAGCCCAATAATTTAATTTTCTATTTCATGCAATGTATTTGACATGCCATCAACAAATTTCCAACATTCAACACGAATCTCAATGCATGATATGGATCTCGAGAAAATCTTTTTAGCAAGAAACGATCAATCCTTTATTAAAAGACACACATAAGTCTAATTTTAACAAACTTATAGTCAAACTGACCAGCTCGACAAGACGGACCCCCACAGTACCAAAATTAGATCAATCTGAACCAAAATAAGCCTCGATCAAGGCATTAAATTATTTTTGGAATGTTTTCAAACATATTTAAAAGGTCAAATAGATGTTGAATCCGACGAGCTCATAAAAAAATCGAGTGATATGATAAGATAAATTTGACGAGCCAAAGATCGCTAAACTATGACATCGTTAAGTCACTCAAATGTTCATCAAACTCTATCTGATCAAGGGATTTTCTCTAAGCCGTTCAATCAAAGTGGTTTATATTCTTTCATTAATTCAACCTAGACTCTATAAATCAAATTCTACCTCTCTTGAAAGAGGAGAAACAAAGAGCTTGGAGTTTGGTGCTTGAAGAAAACTGAAGCTTGTATAAGGAGCTGAAGTTCAACATCACTTATGCTGCCGTCGGTCGCCGTGAATCATCATCGACCACGACTCGTCAGCTTTCGTCCATTACTATTAGTCGCCTCCCATTTCTTGCAATAAATTCATCCTTTCATTGAATTTATAGCTCGGAAGATTATTTAACAATTTTCTACATTGGCACAAGAGATTGTAATTGTAATCACCAAGTTATGATTGATTTATTCAATTACGTTAGACTCTGCGATTTTTTTCTTTTCGAGATTTCCACATAAAAATTTTTGGTGTCTCTACTAGTTGTTTTATTTTTTTTAAGTATGCGCTTGAATCCTCATACAATGCTAAAATGATAATTTATTACTCTATTGCAACAATCTTTCCATCATACAACAGTATTCATTATTTATTGTCCAACAATATATGCAATATATTTTAGGTCAACCTAAATCTAGAAACTCAGGTACAATTATCCACAAATACTATAAAATCCACTTCATACATAATAAAATTTTTGAAGTTATTTTGCTCCCAAGAATACTCTCGATTAGAGAAGTCTTATTTACATTTAAGTGATGACCAGTGAGAGGGTGTCACGAATGATGGTTATTTCATAGAAGCGTCATGATGTCTCTAAAGCTCTCGCTAAGCCACATAGCAAATAGTGAGTCTCTCACAATCCTAATGAGTGACGGCTCATCGGCGAATAAGGCCTAGGAAACAACCAAGTCAACTTATAAGGTCCACAATATGCTTCCAAAGTCTAAATAGGCTATGAGGTAGGGGTGAATCACTGTTTTCATTTGTTTTTCTCTCTTTTGTTTTAGGTGTCGTCAGCTCGTCGATTGTCATGCACTTCCCCCATTCAAATACATCTCCCTCCCAAATTAGATCGGTGATTCAAAGAGGAGATGAATCAGGTAATAATGGACATACAACAAAATGACAAACAATAGAAAACACAAAATGTGGAGAGCCTACGTAAGGTAAACCTTGCAATGATAGGTTAAGAGTGTATGTTCAATAAATAACATATGCACATACCTAAAAAAAGGCATCTAAAAATAGTGAGGGTTAGGGCTTGTGTCTTCAGGTTCGAAAGAGCATATAAAGGTTTCTAAGCAAAAATGTTTACTTGTGGTAGCGCATGAAATAAGTGAAGGGCTAGCCACTAACTGTGGATTGGACTGGGGAGGACGTGCAACAGTAGCGCCAGTCATGTTGGTTTCATTCATTTGAGAATCATGAGAAGGAGAGGCAGGGGAGCTTCAAGAGTCCATGACTCGAAAGTGAGAGGTTAGGGCAGGGATCTGCAAAAAAAACTTAAGAAATAGGAGCGTCATGCCAAACTAAGATATGTAAAGTTTCAAATCAAACGGGGTCATGGGTTGATAAATTTTATTTCGGGATGGGACTTTAGTGGGCGGGTCGGGTTTAGCTGAATCGGGCTTTAATTAAGTCAAAGCAGGCTTGAGCCGGGCGCGTTAAATTTCTATTTTTCCACAATCAAGCCCGCTCATTCTTAGCGGGCTTATGGTGAGTCCGTTGGGCCACCCACCCAAAGCACAATTCTATACAAGACTCTTCTGAAAACTCTAAAAGTATACAAGGAAAGTAAAAAAAAAACAAAACTCAACCTACATGAAAATGATGTTAGAATAAAGCTATCTACATGCAACATCGCGAGCCATGTCCGGTGGGAGGAGAGCTAAGCAGGGTCTGTTGAAATTGTAATTAGATAAATCATTATTGCTCCTCCCTTATTGGACATGGCTCCCTACAAGAAAATTGCTTCTAAAGTATTAGTGTGCATGTCTTAAACACTAATAAACACACAAAGTGATGTCTGACTAGGGCAACCTAACCACATAGAACTATACCCAAAACATCAAAAGGACTACCTAGCATCATAGTCCTAACCTAGCACGTCATCTAGTGTTGAGTGTCCTATCATAACATTTAAGTGAGTGAAAAGTTAAGGAAAAAAGACTGGCGTATGTTTTAATGGGGTCGTTTCTAAACCTATCCTAAGGATCCAAGAATTTTAAGAGATACTGCTGGTGCAAGTTTTATAAAAAAATTTAAATTTCAAAAGGTTGAAATTATGTATGGTTTAAACTATAAGAAATAGTTATAAAATAGGTTTTTGAAAAAATGATGTATACAAGTAATAAAAATATAATTTTGTATATCTTTAAGGTAGGTCCTAATAAAGAAAAAATTCTAAGTGGCACTTATTAGACCCCTTAGATTCATAGCACAGGATATGTGGGCTAGTCACAGTGTGATAGCTAGCATTGCCTGTCGAGGCATCCTTACAGGCAAAAATCGCTACCACGTCGGGACAAGCGAATGGTCACTCGGCTAACAAGTCTGATTTGTTGTCGAGACAGTTAGGGAATGCATGCAAATGCAAAGTGATCTAGTGCGTCTTGACCACTCTGTCAAAGTAGAAGCGATCACAAGATAACAAACATTCACCAAAGTATATGGTAACATATACCCATGATGAATGTGTTGCTACTGCATAAATGCAAATGCAAAACTCAAGACATATGACATAATGAGGTGATGTTATGGGGCATATGACTTGCACACAGAATGGAGTCAGAGGCCTTTGGAGCATGATCCATACTTGGCGGTAGTCATGCGCACACGTGGACACACATCGCATACTTGGAGAACCAAGAGGACTTTAAAGTGTGATTCATGCCAAGTTATGTGACGTGGGATTCCCATGGCATGTAAATGATGCCATAGGAAAAAAAATGGTATGCGTGCAAGACACAAAGAGAGTGAGGTGGCGTTCTTCTCAGTGAGGAGAAACACATGTCGAGTAGGCTTGATGTGCGAAGTCATTCCCGAAGAGGAAACGTGAGTGTTTAGAGTGAGTGTGAAATAACAGTCACTCGAGAAAGATGCCTATGATAGGCCGAAGCAGTGTCGTAGGAGGCGAGAGAGTGTGAGAGGAGCAGTGACTCGAGAAAGGCACAAGCATGTCAGCCATGAAAATACTAGATGTTATGTAGACAAACATGCAAAGGTACACGAATGAGAATGCAAACACATGAGGCGGTGTGCACGATGACATAAGGCTATCACGAGGTAAACACGCAAGAACGTGTCAAAGTAGGGTGTAGACGCCCGCTAGGAGCATATGACACATATGCTCACAGGTGCACAACAGGGTGCGGGGATGAATGTGTTCATGCAAGCAGTATGAAACTAGTATGTAGTGATGCAACATTCAAGTGGAGTCGATCAACATGATCGGGTCGATTGTAGCCGATCAGTCAAAGCAACAAAGGTGGTCGATTGGACACGAGAGGACGATCGATCGACGAAATACAATAGATCAGGTAAGGACGGCCGACCGACAAAGAATGGTTTATTGAACCGATGAAAAGTGTCGATCAAGTTGATCGGGCCAGAGGCGGCTAATCTACCGAGTAAATGGAAGGAGAGTGTCGACCGAGCTGGTGGAA